AAACCCTTTCTCCCATCCGGTGTGTTTCCCCAAATTCCTTCCCCCATTTTCCCTTTGCTCCTAAGCTACTATAGGTAGTAAGCAGCATATCCGGGAAGGCTAAGACAGGGCCAGGAAGAAGCTGATAGGAGTAACTCTCTCAGCCCCACCGGAACAGCATTCCCCAGCAACTCCTTTTTTTAAAAGCTAAACAAATGAGCAAACCACACTTTTGGAAAGCAGATGGAATGTGCGTATTTAAGTCCCTTGGAGTTACCCACATACCCAGGAAAGGAAAAATGGGTTTATAGAAGTTAACACACTCTCTTTTTGCTGCTGAATTGTGCACTGGAGAGGCGGTCAACTATGTTCGCAGGACTAGAACAATCACAATCTGAGGTCATGAAGGTGCTCCAACCTGGCGCCCTCTAGAGGGTTCCACTCCTTACTTGCAGTGTAAGTTCCTTTGTCCCTTGTCCCTCCCAATAGCGAAGGGAACTATGTTCTGGCCCCTAACAGGTAAAGAAGGCTGGATTGAAGCTCGCTCTTGTGGTAAGGAGCAAGGAGGGCCAAGCGGCCACTTACAACAGGCTGAGGACAAACTGGGTCCAGGGATCATCTAACCCAGAAGAATCCACTGAAGTGCCTACCAAAACGAACAAGGAATGCAGTGAGCAAGATCTCACCACGAGCAGCAGGCAGACCATGATTCTGGAGTGAAAGGCTCAAGAGCTGCCAGGGAATATCTGAGTCCTTCTCTGCAAATCCTACAAAACATGGAGCTTGTTCCAAAATACATCTCTGGGAGACGACAGGAGCCTTCTCCTGAAAATGACCCATCTTTTAACAGCAAAATGCTTTGGATGATAACCTGCTTTTCCCTTAATGATTATCTGAACAAAAAAAAAATGTGGCCACTCTCCTCGTTAAACCCATTGTCTAAATGTGCCTATTTCTTGCAGACCAAATGTACCAGGTGTTCTGTTGGGTTCAGCTGGAAGGCAGGAAAGAAGGCAGCCTTTTGTGGGAAGGAAGAATCAACTGCAGCTCAGCAGTTGACTTCTTGGAATTAAAAGGCTGCTGCTTGGAAATGATTTTGGAGGTCCAGCTGAAGCAGCAGAAGACAATAGCTCAGTTATGAAAAGGACAAGTAGGAGCCACGGTCTGGAGAGAAGAAAGAACAGGGCCCAGTTTGACCAGGAGACTAAAGAGGTCCTACAGATGACAAAGATCTACAACCAAAAGCTTGGCAGACTTGCCAAAAGTCCCCTCTGTCAGACAGTTGAGGTTATACTTTGGAAGTCCTACTTTCTGGAGGAAACCTTTTACTGGATACCAATAGCCTCCTCCTGGTTTATCATTAAATTTCTCCATGCCCAAAGCTTTATTTTGCTTCTCCTTTTCAGATGCTTCCTACTCCTTCTCCACTGTTGCTAAATAGCGCCGCTAGCTTCGCACTACAGTGGATGAAAAGGAAAAGAGGCCAAAAATGGGGATGGGGGGGACGGGGAGAAAAAGCGATGGGGCAGCCGGTGAGCTGTGACGTACTGGTGAACGTGGGTTTTGACATTTCTGCTGCTGGTCATACGAAAGGCAGTTTGTTTTTTTTAATGGACAATAAAGGCAAACAAGAATTTGCGAAGCAGATTTAGATCGGATCCTATCCCAAGCTTCTTAGGCTACAACCTGAATCAAAGATCCCTGTAAAAAGGGGAAAGGTGAGAAAATAAAAATGGGAAGGTGGGGGGAGAGATACTTGTTTAAAGTCACATAGAAAAACACCAGGTCAAGACCTAGGAACCAAATACTGATGCAGTATTTCCTTGGCACTGATTCAGACCAACATACAAAGCTTCTCTTAAGTACATTAACCTACCTGCAAGCCATCCTCTAAG